AGAATGCAGAACTTAAGGCTGAGAATGCTGAGATTCCCGAACTTAGAAAGAAGTTTGCTGAAGTTGAAGCTAAGAATGCTAAACTTGAAACTGAGAACTTCGAGGTTAAAGCTGAAATTATGAAGTTAAAGGCCGAATTCAAGAGCGGAATTGAGGGGTTGGAGAAGAGTAGGACGGATACTGTTGCCGAGAATGCTAGGCGTGATATTGAGAGTGATAAACTTAAGGCTAGAGTTGCCAAGTTAGAACAAGATTCTAGACAGCCACAGAATGATTCACCTTTTGAGAAAGCTTTCAATGTACCAGAATCTGTAGCAGTCCAGCTCAAGAAGCATATGCCTTTTGGAGAGAATGTGAAACCAGAAGCATTACCAGAAGTGACTGTAGCTGCCAGCCCTTCACTTTGCAATGAGGATAGAAAGACCGATGAATTTCTAGATTTGTTGCAAAAGAAAAATGTTAGTGATGGAATAAGACATAAAAAGCGGAAGGAAAAGCTTCAACAGGAGACGGTGGAGAATCCAAAGGACCAAGAGGCACCCATGATTTCCCAGAATATTTCTTCTGTAAAAAACATTCCAATTCTTGATAATCATACTCATCTGGAAGAGGGTTGTTTCGGAGGAACTGAATCTGAACAAAATGATGAACTTATTCCTCCTCTCGAGAAAAATCTTATTGTAGAACAAGAGTTAATACAACAGCTTTCAACAACTATTAACAATGATGAAGTATCAATCATATTTCGTAGGAATACTGGATCAGTGGACCTTGACCCATCTTTAGTTTCTGCACAAAGCATAGTTCATATGTTTTGAGAGGTCATTCGATCAGGTCAAAATGCTATTTTATGTTGGTACCATTTTGCGGAAAAATATAACAAGAGAATAGTTGAGGTATCTGTTGATAAGAAAGTCGGTAAGAAAAAAACAATGGGGATAGTATATAATGAAGTTAAACAACTTCTTCCAGAAATTATAGATGTAAACTTACGCCAAAAACTTCTTAGAGCTAGAAAAATAAGGACACTTTTTAGCGCAGTAGGAGTAGAGAAGATAAGACTTGTTTCATATAGTACAAATGCGATTTCTAATCTTTCTTATACTCAAATTCAAAATATTATAGATCATGTGACTAAAATTTGCGTGAATAAAATTCA